AACGAACATGGTTGACGTCACTGCACGAAGGAACATGTTAGAATTTGGTGGTAGTTTTGCCTTGCAGGTGTCTCATTCAGGGTATTGTATTATCTTCAGGTATTTAACGGTGATTTGGAATTATTTTCGTTAACATTGTTGCTATTCTTAATATCATTCTTCTTATTGCTGTTATTGTTTCAATTGCTTAAGTTATCATTACTATCACTGTTTGTCTTTGATTTCCATCTTTAGAGAATGATGCGATGTGCAGATATTTTCCTACGGTTATAACTATGTTTACAAGTTCTTATGTTGGTCCCATGTGCTATATGGCCTTGATATGTAGCATATTTATTTATTTTAACCATTGAACATTATGTTAGTTCCTAGCCTAAGCTAACCTTCCTTACCTAAGATTTGTGAATGTATGAACTGGCCAGTACAGGGACCGGGAAACATCGGGTGATTCTCAAAATAAGGAATATATTTTGAAAGATTGGCATCCATCCTGTTCCATTAATTTTGCATGCATTTCACCTTGTGTATGGAGACAAAGGCTATTTCCGAAGAAGTGAGTAATTCCACGGTGACACTATTAATATTATATTTAACATTGAAACTGAAAGGATTACGATCACTATTACAAATGTAATACTTGTTACTGTTGAGTTTTTTTCCATTATACTGAGGGTGCTCTACAGTTACTTGGCCTAGTAAAGACATTACAGTTCATTTGTCCTTTCACTACAGATTGAACTCTCTAGTGCTCTTTTTTTCTTTATATCAGAAGTACTTAAGTCAGATTTCATTTCATCCCTGAGAGTTGTCAGGGAGACGGCCCTTGCTATTCTAAAAGTTCTGTGCGCGGCAGTGTTATATGATATGGTTATAACATCTTCATTTCTCCCATTTCTGTACTTGACTTGTTACTGAACTTGCGTGTTTATATTTTTTCTTCATTTTTTTTTTTTTTATAATTTCCAAAACGATTTATGTACAGAGAACACCCTTCTTTTAGCCTTCTCTTATATTTAAAGCATAAAACTCCTTCAGCCCCCCCCCCCCTTGAGCGTCCTACACCCCGTCCAGTCAAGCTGCGTTCTCATTCCTCTCTGGTCGCTCCTTGGCTCTTGCATGGGAGCATCTTAGAAGAAAGAAAAATAACAGTCGGCCATTTCTCATTCCTTTTCTTTATTCATTTATCAAATATTTTTCTTATTCACCTACGTGGAAAGCTCTGTGCGTCTCTTGTTCTCATTTATACAATATTGTATAAGGAGTGATAATGACAATAACAATAATGATGATAATAATAATATTGATAATAATATTAAAGATAGTAAAAATAATGAGAGTAATAACAGTGATAATAAAACTAACGATACGATAGCAATGATAATGGCAATGATGATAATAGTAATGGTAATGATAATAACGATAGTGATGACAAAGATGACAATAATGATGATAATAACTAGAAGCACTCAGAGAGCGCATACCTCTGCCAAGGCAATAGGATCACTGATGCAATACAAATATTTACACTTGAAGAATTACATTAAAATAACCTTATTCTCAGTTACGTTGGTGGCGTCCGTGTTTCCCTATCTCGTAATGCTAACGAATCCTTAAAAAAAAAAAATCCTGGATAGGGATAGGACACAATTCTGGTAATAATTTCATAAAAATCTGTTCATAATTTTTCGAAATATCCTGTCCAACAAACTAATCATCAAAAACCAAACACATAACTTCCTTGGCGGAGGTAATGATAATGATGATGATGATAAAAATAATGCCAATGATAATGAGGATAATAATGATAATGATGATAATAATGATAACAATGATAATGATAATGATAATAAAGATGATAATAAGGAATGCTTTGCTTTTGTTTTAGTCTCCCCTTTCATCCTCTCTTTCCCTAACGTTTTCTATCTCTCATCTTCATTGTTTTGTTATTTTCTTCTCTTCTCTTCCTTTTTGCTTCTTTTTCTTTCTCGTTTATTTCCGTTCCTTTCTTCCTTCTTTTCTCCTCTTCCTTTTTGCTTATTTTTCTTTCTCGTTTATTTCCGTTCTTTTCTTTCTTTTTCTTTTCTCTTCCTTTTTGCTTCTTTTTCTTTCTCGTTTATTTCCGTTCTTTTCTTTCATCTTCTTTTCTCTTCCTTTTTCCTCTTTTTTCTTTCTCTCTCCTCTCTCTCTCTCTCTCTCTCTCTCTCTCTCTCTCTCTCTCTCTCTCTCTCTCTCTCTCTCTCTCTCTCTCTCTCTCTCTCTCTCTCTCTCTCTCTCTCTCTCTCTCTCTTCTCTCTCTCCCATCCCTCTTTCCCTAACTTTCATGTGCCCCTCTTCCCACCCTTCTATCCTCCCTCTCCGTTTCTGTCAAGCTCTCTGTCTCCTTATCTCTGTTTCTCTCCATCTCTCCCTCCCTTCCTCCCTCTCTGTTCGTGTCATCCCCTCACTCTCACCCTTATCTACCTTTCTCTCTCTCTCAATCCTTGCCTCTCCCTCTCTCCCA